GCAGATTTGTTCATTTGACTTCTAGAACATCTGTTTTTCTCATGTGTATACCTTCAGTTCCACACACCTTTTTCTGTAATCCCCAAATCCACAATGCCCTGGAAATCAAAAATTTTGTTGCCAACTAATGTGCTGGCAAACCTGCCCTGATTTGCATTCATTTGGTGGCAAAACCAAATGAGAAGCTATTTATAATCTTTATTTACTCCACCTAATCCATGCACTTTTCTGCGGAAACACACCGTGCTTATTATGGGCGTTAGACCTGTATGTACATATCAGATAATGGGGTTTTCAGCTTTCTGTAGTTTCTAATACAAAAATGTGGGTGATGTGTCATTTTTACTGCATTGTTTGGACAGTGTACTATGTGCTTTGAATAAATGTGCAATCATTACAGGTATCTGACTTTGACATAGAGGCAAAGATAATTCTCTGGCAGCCAAATGAACTCCCCAAAACCCCGAGAACCACTGCACGCAGATTACTGTGCAAATGCTTCTCACATTGGTCTGAGTAGCTGTATAGATATTTAAATTCTATTTAAATATAATTATATGTTTACTTAAACATAATACTTTATAGTTTGAAATCCTTTACAATACTTTTCTTTTGTAGTTCCAGGAGTAGAAATGTTCACTGACTTTGTTTGTGAGAACTGAATCTTTTCTAAATTTATTAACCTGACCTCACGTACCCTCTAGAAGAAGGGACAAACAAGTCTACTATTTTTCTTTTTGTTGCTTAGGTTAACCTAGCATTGTATTACATTGTGTTCATCCATTTGTTACAGAAGGGCAGATCCAGGGAGAAGTCATTTATGGAGCCAACTCACAGTGCGGATTTGTAATCCAGCTCTTGGCCCGGAGCCTCTGTGAGACTGTCCTTGTGGGGAGGGGAGGGGAGCAAAGGAACAGGCATTTACAGTGTGACTGTTATTTTTTATTTTTATTTCTTTTAGAGAGAGAGGAAGAAAGAAGGAGAGAGAGATAGAAACATTGATGAGAGAGAACATTGACTGGCCACCTCCTGCATGCCCCCCACTGGGGATTTGGCCCACAACCTGGGCATGTGCCCCGACTGGGAATTGAACCGGCAACCTCCTGGTGCGTGGGTTGACACTCAACCACTGACTCACACTGGGCAGGCTACAGTGTGATATAACAGAAATAGCTTTGCAATTTTCCTCTTTCCTTTTCCTGACACAAAGAATCAAGGCCAGAAGTGTCAAGAATGTACAACTAGAATTGTGTGTGCAGAGCAATTGGAGGATCTGTTAAAGATTTTCCCTCAGCTCTGGTCGGTTTGGTTCAGTGGTTGGAGTGTTGGCCCACAGACCAAAGAGTCTTGGGTTCGATTCTGGTCAAAGCCACGAGCCTCAGTTGCAGTTTGGTCCCGGCCCTGTTTCTGGTCCTGTGGGAGGCAACTAGTCAATGAGTCTTTCTCATGCCGGAAAAATAAAAGATTTCTCTCATCTCCCTGCCTTCTTCTGGCCCTGTGACTCTGAGTGCCTGCTCCTATCAAGAGAGGAAGAGAGAGAACCAATGAAAAATAAGGGGAAGGGTCAAACAGGGTCTTAGTAGCCTATGATGGAAAGGATTCAAGCCCTCACTGAAAAGCCAGAGTGAAGCCCAGCATGTAAATAATTTCATGTTTTGATTTTAAACCATTGTTCCTTACATTTTTCTAAACAGCAAGAGCTGTGCCTGACAGAAAGCCCTCCTTGAAGACAAGTCTTTTATCCCAACAGAAAAGGACATGCACACCCTCCCTTCACACAATGACCGACTTCAGAAGAGAAAGGGACCTTTGAGAAAGGCTACATCGGGCTGGGGCTGGGTGCCTCGAAATCAAGTTTCTGGATGTGGCAGAAAGTACTTGGAAATGGACTAATAGACTTGAATTCAAATATTGGCTTGCCAATTTGATAGCTGGGTGACCTTTGAGCTGCTTCTTACTTCCTCTACATTACAATTTACTCAGCTCAAAAATAAGGACAATAATACCCCTTTTTCATAGCCGTGTGAGAATTAAAATAGAGAGTCCTCGAAAACACCTGGCATCTAGCAGGCCATCATTATGTTGAACTACTTTGGTTAATGTTTTCAGGGCTTGTGGGATGTTGAATTCTGGACAATGGCTCTTAGGATTGGGTTGAAGATGAAGAAGAAGAGAGGAAAAGAAGTGGAAGTATGGGAAATAAAATAAATAAGAAGACTGGTCATTCCTTAGGTAATCTGAGTAGGAACTCCGCGTCTCTATGAAAAACAGTCAAAAACTGCAAAAGTAGGTGGTGTCACCAAAGGCACAGAGATGACAGGAGTGGGGGCAAGGGGCATGGGATCCTTCCGGGAGGAGAGGAGTTTTTGTGTGTAAGGCGAAGAAGGAAGTGAATTGACTGTGGGGAGGATGGGGTTAGGCTCCTCAAGCAGTGGTGGGGAAAAGACCTCAGTAAATGTCCCTAGAAATATATGGGCCAGGAATCTGGAAAGTGACATCAGAGGAAGTTGTTGCTACTGGTGGAAAAAGCTGAGCATCTGTATAGTAAATATGATTAGAGCTTCTGTGCACCCTCAAAGGCCTCCGCCCAACTGAGTGACAGTGTTGGGATACTGTTTCAATGTGCTTTGGAAGATTCAACAAAACCCACAACTGAAAAAAAAAAAAAAAAGACTATAAAGGTAACACTTGTAAAACATTTGAACAACAATGGAACCGATACGACAAAATCAGCTGCCCAATAATTCAGGGCCACAGAGGCAATCCCACTAACATTTTGAAGTATTTTCCTCCAGTTTTGTAAACATGTATATGCCACAGCTCTCCTTTTTTTACCCCTTAAATTCTCTCTCTTTTTCAATGTTAACATCATTGGCAGATACTCTTTTAAACAAGTTTTCATAGTTAATTCTTTGAATAGATACATTTCAATGTACTGAATCAGTATCTGTGATTTGGACATTAAGATTGTTTACTTTTCTGGTTTAGCATCAGCAATGTGGTAATAAATATCACCAAGATAATTTTAAATTTCCTAGAATCATAGATTCTTCTTTTCCAGGGACTTCCATCCTTCTGTCCCCTTCCTTTCAGGCTGGACTCCAGGGAAGCCAGAGAGACAAGTTGCCAGAATGAAACACCTTGGAGCTTGTTTTAGGTTCCCTGGAGAGCCCCATTCAGGTACTGCTGACAAAAACCCTGTGGCTGGGCACTCAGCCCTGCCAGGACCACACAGAAGCACAGAGGGAGGGTGTCCCACTGACCAGGCAGCTGAACTAACCTGTAGATGAGGCACAGAGGCAGGAAACTTTTCTTTCCAAAGTAGTCTAGGAAACTTCTCGTCCACATGGCATTTCCCTGGTGTCAATAACTTTCAGTCCACACCCACACATTTGGTTCTGCCCGCCAGGAGGACAGGCCCTGGGAGGAGAGGTGGCTGGCATCCGGAGTGGCCAGAAACCCTGCTCCACTCTGCTCCTCTTTTGCCCATTTTCTAGCTGAGTGGTTCTCAACCAGTCCCTAGAGAACATTCCGAAAATGTGTGGGCTTTCTTTTTGTAATTACAACAATGGAGTGGGGTGCAATTGGCTTTCATGGGTACGGTAGGGGTATAAGATATTCTTCAAAGCACAGCCTGCACAATGAAGAATTATCTCTTACCTAGATTCTCAAATGTCCCCTAGGACAACCATGTAGGTGAAACCTGTGTTTAATTATCCGAGTCTAAAATTTAGTATGGTTAAAAAACGGTTTTAATATACAGTGAACTTTCTAGGAATGCAATCACAGTTCTGTGTAATTTAGGGAAGAATGACTTTGCTAGGAGAGTTGTCCAACACTTCGTGAAGTCACTTCCCTGACGCTGCTGGAGGCTCACCCGGGCCCTGTGCCCGTGAGCAGTGCGCGGCCCCGCCCTGCTCCTCGGCCTCACACTCACGTCTTAATACTGTGTATGCTATTTTACTACACATTACTTTTTTTCATTTCCCTTTATGTTACAGACAGGGAAGCTTGTTGGTTCTTTAAAAGTTGTATGTATGTAGGTAGGTTATATTATCGACGGATTTCAAATCAGCACAGTAAAGGAGTCATTACAAAATGTTTGTTGTATAAAAGATTGAAGATTGAAAACCTCAGTTCTAATCGGTCTCACAGTATTCGGTTTTCCCAGGATCAGCCAGGAAGAAGTGCCCCCTACCCCCAAGAAGCCCGTCTCTCCTCACAAAGTCACTCCCAAGAGCAACGTACACGCAGGCAGACCGGCGGGCACACGCGCACACATCTTCCGCCCCCCGACGCCAGGAGCCCCTAGACCCGTCAGGAGGCCTGCACTCCCCCACTTGTCTCGAGCTGCCAGCTCTTCCCCGTCAAGGAATATTGATTGCCAGGCCCTGCTAGACACAGATGTTGAGGCTCCAGCCCACTTCTTGGAGGCGCTTTAGTCTTTGCTTTTCCTAAGCCTCCTACTCTGTCATTTCCTCCCCTTGCCCGCCCTCCCGGTCTTCGGCTCCCAGCCCCCTCTCCTCCAGGGGCAGGCAAGTAGCGCTGCTCGCTGCTGGGCCCAAGGAGCCACTCTGGTCTTCCGACTCTCTCGTCCCCGCCCAGCTCCTGTCCAGCTCTGGGCCTTCATCCCTCCGCAGCCCTCCTCTCCGCTGTCTGCCCCTGGCTGCTCTTTTCTCTCCCGCCCGTCTCCTTCTCCTTCTGGCCCTTCACCTCCGCCTCTCCCCTTCCACCCACATCCAGAGCTGCCTTCTCTCTGTGCGGCCGTCCTTCTCCACCTGCACCCCAGTCCCTGTCTCAGCGCCAGCTCCTGCGCCTGGGGCGCGGCTCCGCTCGCCCTCGCCCCGGGGCCCAGCTGCCGCGGCGGAGGGTCCCTCCGCGCTCCCCCGCCCCGCCCCGCGCTGTGGGCGGTCCAGGGCGGGGCCCGAGTCCGGGGCGGCTCCCGGCGCTCGGGTTGTGGGAGGGGCCCTCCTCCCATTTCCCCAGCTCCCCCGCGCCCCGTCTTCTCCCGCACCCTCCCGCTTCCCTCCGCCCGGGAGCTTTCCTGGGTCCCCGGCGCCGCCTCCTTCGCTCACGGCTCCCCGCTCCCACGGCCGCCGCCGCCCCGGGGAAGGAGAGACGGGGGTGGGGTCGGGGGAAGCGTGAGAGGAGGCCGAGACCCTGGCTGGGCTGGAGCCCGGATTCCAGGGCCGGAGGGTCGGGAGGTAGAGGGAAGGTGGAGGAGAGAGGAGGGGGAGCGGGGAGGAGCGGCCGGGCCTGGGGCCTTGAGGCCGGGGACCGCCGGGGCGCAGGGCCGGCGCGCCGAGGTAAGAGCCGGGGCCCGGGGAGCAGGGCTGGGAGGGAGGCGGGGAGGGCCGAGCCGGAGACCCGGGGCGAGGGGAGAGCAGGGGCGGCGGGGAGGCCGTCGGGGACCTGGGTGAGCAGGGCCAGAGCGCCTCGGGGCCGGGGGAGAGGAGGTGGTGAGAGGTGGAGTCCCGGGAGGGTGGGGGGCCGAGGGAGGCAGGAGGAGGGTGGGGACAGGCTTTCTCTCCTCCTCTCCCCCCACCGGCCCGGGCTCCGCCCCCGCCTCCCTCGCGGGGCGCTCTCCGGTCCCCAGGCTGAGCCGGGTTGGAGCCTCGGAGGCTACGGCAGAGAGGCCGGGCCTCCTCCGGATCCCGGCGGTGCCCGCGGGGCTCGGTCGGGTCCTCACGGCGCCTCTCACTCAGATGCTGCTGCTGCTGCTGGCGCCGCTCTTCCTCAGCCCACCGGGCGCGGGCGGGGCGCAGACCCCCAACGCCACCTCGGAAGGTGCATCCTCCTCTGGCGACCTCCGGCACCCCTCCGCCCCACCCGCCTTTCCTGGTCCTCGTTCCTATCCCGTCAGCCTGGCCGCCCGTCTGCGCGGCCCACTGGAGTACCCCAGACCGCCTCTGTCACCCCACATCACTGCACCAGGCCACCTTTCCGTGACCCTGCGTTATTGTGTCAGCTCCACCCCTCCTGGCCCCACATCACTACCCCGGCTCTGCCCTTTCCTTGTTCTACGTTTCTCCCAGGTGGCCTTATAAGACCCGTTCTCCTCTCATCCGAATTCAACTCAAACGTCCTCCTTGAGCCTTCTCGCCCTGCTCACTCGCATATCACCCCCCCCCCCACGATCTCAGTTACTTTCTCCTTGCCCCCAACCAGCACCCTTCCCTCCCGACTTGCAGGCTCTCTCATCAGCCTTCACCGCGGCTCATCACGCTCTGTCCAGAGTTCTCTGTGCAGAGAGTACTCTGAGCAGAACGTTACTCTGTGCAGAGTTCTGTTCCCTCCCCAGCCCCCCCTCCCCATCCCATCCCCTCGGTCCTCCACCGGCCCCTTGACCACGCCCTAGGCTCTCGGCCTCGCTGCTGACTATGCCTTTTCCTTTCCTCCCGCCATTCCTCTCTCTGCTCCTCCCTGACTCACCCCTCAGGTTGCCAGATCATACACCCGCCCTGGGAAGGGGGCATCAGGTATAGGGGCCTGACTCGGGATCAGGTGAAGGCTATCAGCTTCCTGCCGGTGGACTACGAGATTGAGTATGTGTGCCGGGGGGAGCGCGAGGTGGTGGGGCCCAAGGTCCGAAAGTGCCTGGCAAATGGCTCCTGGACAGATATGGACACACCCAGCCGTTGTGGTGAGTAGCCTTCCAATGCCCCTCTCTTCTTCAAGACCATCCTCTTCCTGCCTCAAATTTAGCATTATTATTTGCAAGTCAGCACTTTAAATCCACTGTAACTAAACTCACAAGTACATTTATGGTAAGAGGGACTTTGCTGTGCACAGTGAGAGGCATTCAAGTTCGCTGCCTGCATATTTCATTTCATCCTTCCTTCCTTTTAGGCCACTGACCATTGATAAAATAACCTGATTATTCATCTTGTAAATTATTCTCTTAAAGGATCATTATTGGCAGATTATGCAGAAACATTCTAAAATTATCTCATTACATTTCTGAATACCTCTGTCTCTAATGCGAGAGGCTGCATGCCCAAGAAACAGAATCTGGTTAACATTAATACAAGCCAGCTAGAATGAGAAAGGCAAGACCAAGTGTGCATCCACAGTCACATACATCCACCCATCTCAAAGCCAGAGAACGGCTCACTGAAGAGATCAATCCATTTTATGTGCTTATAGCTCCATCTTGGGTTCCTACATGGCAATACTTTTTCCTTTTTCCCCCCTGTGGGAATGTGTGGATGCTTCAGGACTAAGGGAGGACTGCAAGCTAGAGAGACCAATCCTCTTTACACTGGATTTCCTGCACTGTCGGATGCTCGTGGGCCCAAACCCAAAGCTGAGCCTCCTGCTCTTTAAGGAGAGGGAGCCTTCTCCAACCTGCTTCTCTTTCTCTATTTCCCTGTCTCTCTACAGTCCGAATCTGCTCCAAGTCTTATTTGATGCTGGAAAATGGGAAGGTGTTCCTGACGGGTGGGGACCTCCCAGCCCTGGACGGAGCCCGGGTGGATTTTCGCTGTGACCCTGACTTCCATCTGGTTGGGGGCTCCCGGAGCATCTGTAGTCAGGGCCAGTGGAGCAGCCCCAAGCCCCACTGCCAGGGTGAGGGGAGCAGCTGCCTGCATGCAGTCAATGAGTCTGGGAGTGGGCTGGACATGGGCGGCAGGAAAGGATGGGTGCTGTACAGATGGAGGCTTTGGGGAGGCAGAGGTGGGAGCCCAACTCCTTCCTCCATCCATCTGCCTCCAACTTCCTCCTTCAGTCCCCAGTTTGCACTTTACCTATGTTGGGTTGGGGCTTCCTTTCTTTACCCTTCTCTCTTTTTTTGTCATCTTCTCCCTGCTCCCAGTTCTTGGGTCTCACGTTTTCTCTTTTCCATTATGAATTTCACCCTCCATCACCCTTCTTAAGGTTTAAATACTCCAGTTTTCCCTCACCCCAATCCTCTTCTCTACACTTAGAACTTTCTATGCATAAACCTCATCTAGAACCAATCCCTCTCCATTCACTGTATAACTGAATTATTGTACAGACTCAGAAATAATGTCATACTTAGAAAAGTTGATAAGATTGGAAAGACTGTCTGGGGTGGAAAATTATCAGGGTAAAATTAAAAAGTCTTAAAACTGGTGACAGAGCTGCCAGAGCATTAAGACTGCCAGGGACGAGGGCAAGCGGCCCTCTCTCCCTCCCAGACGACCACCTTCATTCCCAGAGGGAATCTACTTGTGTCTGTCATCTTTTCTGCCATCTAGTTCTGCAAAATGTCCCTTTTCTTGGGCATACAGATTTTCCCTCTGCAGCTTCCTCTCCTGGGATGCAGGCATATCTTTCGCTTCCTCTACCCTTGTAGACTCTTTCAAGATCCTCATATTCTCAATTATTCTGCTTGTAGTTTATCATTCCATTTTAGAAATTAGGAGTCCTTTGGGGAGATTATTCCCCATTTATACAGGCCTCTTCTTGTGCTTTAATAATGTAGAGGGTCGTAATAATGTGTTCACATGGTCATAGTGTTTTGTTTTGTTTTTTGTAAAAATTGCATAAGTAAGCTATTTTAACAGCAATAGCTTAAAACCATTTGTATTTATAATTGTTTTCTTTAAAAGAGAGACCCCACATTTGATCATATTTAGGCTCCACAAACCAGGATATGCCCGTGTCTTAGCTGTAGGCATTTCTGTCTCAAATTCTGTTGTCCTATGAAAAATAAAAGAAGAAAACAAGTCCTGACCCACAGTCCGCCTTGCTCTTATCCCCAGGCACCCTCCCTTCAGAAAGACAGGCTTCTGCTGTCGCCCGTCTTCAGCATGGACAGGTGTGGGAGGGGGCTGGGGATGAGGCCAGGGAAGCTGGGCGCCAGTGGTAACTCTTCTCTGATCCCGTCTTTCCTGCTGCCAGTGAATCGAACGCCACACTCAGGTGAGATGAGAAACCCTTCTCGTGTGCACTGCCATACCCCGCCCCTCACTCTTCACCCTCCACCCCCAGGAGTTCTGCCCCGAGGCTATGGAAATCGGTATCCTTCTCCCACCTTCCCCACCCACCCCAGTTAGCAGCCGGCCCTTTTCCCTACCTGTTTCCTGCCCCAGTCCCGGTTTGCCAGGCCGTGGCCCCTCCCGTCTCCCCGCCTGGCTGCACTTCCCCCGGCTCCCAGACTCAGCTTTGGCCACATGGAAGAGCCCAGCAGGGGGCGGCAGGGAGCTGGGAGGCCCCAGCTCCCCACTGGTCTTTCCTGTGGGCTTCCTTCCGACCTGCCGAGAACCTTTCCTGCCCGCCCTTCCCTAGGATTTCACCTGAGGACTCCGTCGGCCCCTCCTACCCTCCTCACCCCGGCCCAGCCCCATCTGCCTCCTTCAGCCCCTCCCTTACCCGTTTCTTCCCTACATCCTTTTCCTTCTCTTTTATCTCAGTTCCTTCTCCCACCACCTTTTCACAGCCTCCGTCACCGAGCCCCTTGTTCCCGACTTCTGTGCCCATCACTCCCCTTTGGACTCCCCCACCCAACTACCTCTTTCCCAAACCGTTCCCGCCGCCCTCCGCCTCCAGCTCGCACCCGCGCCCTTCACCTTCGATTCATTCCGCTGGGAGCCGCTCAGGCCCAGCCCCTCGCGCGCGCCCCTCTCCTCCCCTGCGCCCCCTCTCCGCGGTGCTCGGCCTCCCGCCGCTCCCTCCGCCGGCCCGCACGCCGGCACGCCCCTCCCCCTCTCCCCGCCCCCCACTCCCAAGGCCCCTTCCTCGGCTGTCCCCTCCCCCAGGGGTCCGATCTCCCACCCCTCTCCGCTCGGTTCAGCTGTCGTTCCCACTGTTGCGCTCGCCTCCATCCCCGCCCCCTTCCTCCTCCTCGACTCCTGCCCCCACCCCTGCCGCGCGCCTCCCGTGACGTCAGAGCCCCCTCCCAGCCCGCATCTGCCTCCTCCTCCCCTCGGTCGGTCAGTCAGTCCGCGAGGAGGGTCCGCGGTGGCTGGAGCAGGCGGAGGCGGTGGCGGTGGCGGTGGCGGGAGCCGTGCGGGCCTTAGGAAGCCAATCTTCCCTGCTTCCCCGAGGCCCTAGTCTCCTCTGCCCCACAAAACCAGGGATGGAGGCGCCTCCTCGACACCCCCTCCGCAGCCCTCCCCAGGACAAGTGTCCCCCTTGAGCTACCCCTCCCCAAGCAGCTACCGCCCGCCCCTCCCTGCCATGGGTCCGGGGGACGCTGTTCCCCGGGTGGGGTGGCCACTGCCGCTCTTGGTGGCGATGGCGTTGGGGGTGGCCCCGGTGGCGTGGGCCTCCCACTCCCCCCATCTCCCGCGGCCTCACCCGCGGGTCCCCCCGCACCCCTCCTCAGAACGGCGCGCAGTGTACATCGGGGCGCTGTTTCCCATGAGCGGGGGCTGGCCAGGGGGCCAGGCCTGCCAGCCGGCGGTGGAGATGGCGCTGGAGGACGTGAACAGCCGCAGGGACATCCTGCCGGACTATGAGCTCAAGCTCATCCACCACGACAGCAAGGTAGCTCCGGACGTGGGAGTGGGTCGGGGGTGGGGGCTTGGGGAGCAGGGCCAGCCGGCTGGGTCTAAGTGACTTCTGGGCTTTCCACACGGACCTCCCGTGAGGGACGAACAGAAGTGCTGGGGGTGCAGGCGCTTGGGGAGAGGCACAGGGGCTGGAGGTTCGAGATGGGGGTTCAGAGGGCTGGAGATGGTTAATCACGTTGTGAGGCAGACCCTTCTGCTCTTAGGAACACGTGGAAGTACTTGGATTTGGGGAAACTGTCGATGGATTTAGGGTAGAGCTGTTCCCGACCCCCTGGGAGTAAACTAACCCTGGACTGAGTTGGGGGATGGAGGGGATGTCAGAGGGGAACTGGATCGGTTTATATCGACCATGGTAGCAAGGTAAATCTTGGCATCAGGTTGGAGCTGGAACGAATAGGGTCCAAATGTGGGACATTTTGAGGGAGTTGAGCCATCGACTTTGTTTATCACAAAAAAACAGAAGGGTAGCCGAAAGCCCCGTCCGACTTCTCATCCTCCATTACCAGCCCCCGCAGAGGACTCCTGGACTGTGGGGCTATGTGGCATATGTGATTGGGAAAGGCTAATCAATGAATGGTCAGGAGATGGGCAGAGACACTGGGAAAATGAACTGAAGTAGAGGCCCACATGGGAGCCCACAGCGGCCTGAGGATGGAGAGGAAGCAGCAGAAAGGGATGGGGAAGGGTGTCAGTGGGGGAGGGGCAAGAAGGAGGGCTGGGCAGTGAGAGACCCTGGCACATCCTGTAGAACTTGGGTCTTGAATTCATCTTCTTTACCGCATTGTGGCCTCTAAGATATGAAAAGGGAAAGGGATGTAGGGTTAGAGAGGTGAGGAAGAGGGGGAGAGGTAAGAAAATATGGGTCCAAGTGTAGTTGGGAGGTCCTACAAGGTCCTCCCTACCCCTGCTGGAATAATTCGGTGTGTGGGGAAAGGTGTGTCACAGGGAGGAAGGACTTTGGGACCCCACATTTATCTTCTCTGGCCTGTGGCCAGTGACTTAAGGGATGGGGGAGTGAAATAAAGTCCAGAGGAGAGGATTTGGTGACCTCACCCCTGGGGTGAGCTGAGCATTTACAGTCCTGCTGTAGAACAGTCATCTACACCTAGAAATAGGCATGTGAGGGAGGAGGGGCAGAAGTGGGGTTGAAGAGAGGGGCTTGGAGAGGGAGCTTCAGGTCCCTTCTGACACTTTCACAGTGACTCTCAAACTTGAGTGTACATAGGAATCACCACAGGACTTTGTTGAACTCAGATTCTGACTCCTGGGTTAGGATGCGTCCCAAGGAGCTGCGTTTCACCAACACAAACCCTGCCCTGGCGTTCGCCATGGAGCTAAACCCAATGTGCCGGGAAGAGCAACAGGGCGCAGGGAGAGTTAGGTGTTGGGGTAGGAGAGCAGGGTGGGAGGAGGGCCGGCTGACAGGAGGGTCCAGCTCAGGACAACAAGAGGAGTAATTGGCTGTGGGAGGTGGGACGACAGGGAGAGACAGGGAGGGATGGGTGCAGCTTTATAATGGGGCATCACAGGGAGCTCAGGCTCATCCACCATGACAGGTGAGTCCCTGGAGGTGTTGGGGAGCAGATGGGGAACCTGAGAGAAGGGAGGAGAAAATAGCAGAGGCAGCAAGGGGAGATGGAAAGGCAGACTGGAATGTGTTGTTTCCTGCCTGCAGATCTGATCCTTGCAGAGCAGAGGCGAGGGAGGGGAATGAGGAGGTGTGCTGGGGAGGGTGGGGATCACGCGGCGGGGGAGTCTGCAGGACCGCTTTGGGTGTGGAAGGGGAAAGGCAGTGCGAAGCAGTAGGGAGGGACGTGAGCACAAAGGAAGAGACATTGGGAAGCATACATTGCCCTCTTTGTTACATGTTCTTATATGTCTTCATTGTTGCTAAGCACCTTTTCTTTAGAGGAGAAAGGGAGGGGGACTGAGGGGCCTCGGGGGAAGCGGGAGCAGGGTCCGGAGTCGCAGACGCTGGGAGAGAGCAGGCAGGTGGGCCCTGAGAATGGAAAGACACTCAAAGATGCCCAAGTGGGAGGGATGAGGACCCTTCGAAGGGCAGTGTTGAGCAGACACTGAGCGCTGTCCTTGGCAGTGGGGCGGGGGCTGTTCAGACTTTGCCAGCCTCCCCGGCCCCCCCTTCCACTGCCCGCAGTGTCCCAAATGTCAGGCCTCAGTGGGGAGCAAGCAGGCTTTAGGGGGCCTTCTTTATTTCCTTGCAACTTGCCCCCCTCATTTCACTCTCCCCTGTCCCCTGTGTTTGCTGTCTGTGTCCTCTCTGCCCTGGCTCCCCACTGGCTCCCATTTCATCTCCACTTCCTGTGGGTCTCCAGCAGCTTTTGAAATGTCATCTTTCAGCAGGAGGGCAACAGGCATTGGGAGACCCGAGCTCTTCTTCTCCACTCCCCTCCTCCCAGCATGCCTTTCCTGGCCAGCTTTCTGCAGTCTCCTTCCCATCTCCATGCCTCTCCCCCAGGCCCCTCTAAAAGTCTCTAGGTTTTTCAGTCATTCTGTTTCTTCTTCCCAGTTCTTTCCTCATCCTTGTTTCTTCCCTGACATCTACCCTTGAGTGTCTCTTCTTCTAATGGACCCATCAAATGTCAGGGCCCAGCAGGAGGGGGTGGATGCTGAGCTGGACCCCCTAGTGGACTTGTTCCTGTTCTCTCTTGTTTATCACTAGCCCTGTAAAAGAGAAGAGGGAGGGAAAAAAGGCAGGAGGGGAGAGAGAGTTTGCTGAGGTGAGGGAGGAGTTTTCATAAACGGCTTTGAGGAGGCTGTCTGGGGACTTGGGGAGGGTTTATTCTTATTCCCATGGAATCTGCTCCACACAGATGTTTGATGCATAGAAACATGGTGAGAAGCAGGAGTGATGGATGGAAGGTGGTAGGGTGTCTGGATGCGCTGGGGGGAGGGAAGGGGTACGTGCATTGGTACTGATGAGGGGTGTGGAGGAGAGGGTATGGGTAAGCACCAGCCGGAAGACAGAGTTGTTTATTGAATGAGGGGAACTGAGAAGACAGGAAAATATGCCAGGAGGGAGAACGTGGCAGTAATGACAAAAGGGTTTCGTTAGAGGGGTGGGTAGTTGGGGAAAGTAACTAGGTTTTTGGTAAAAAGTAGTTGTAGGGATAGGAGAAGAGCTAGGAGAGCCTCCCCTCACCCTCCCACACCCCATTTAGTGTGACCCAGGCCAGGCCACCAAGTACCTGTATGAATTGCTCTACAACGACCCCATCAAGATCATCCTCATGCCCGGCTGCAGCTCTGTCTCCACGCTGGTGGCTGAGGCCGCCAGGATGTGGAACCTCATCGTGGTAAGTGGGGCGTGGGGGTCAGAAGGCAGGCTGTGCTCTTTTGGTGTATTTAAGAGGACGACTTCCAAGATTCAGAGCTTTGCAGACCTGAGCTAATGGGCCCGCCCACAGCCCAGAGGAGTGGGGTCGGACAGGGAGGGAGCACCTGGTTGTGAGGGTATGCGGGCCTTTCAGAATCCCTTTCTGAGGGTGGAAGTGGAGACGCTTGGAGATAGTGGGAAAGGTTGGAAGCTCTCTTGGAAGCTCTTGGTGGGGTCCACGGACGGTGTCCCCTGTTGCATGGCGTCCCCCATCGCCCTGTTCCTGTCCCTTGTAGCTTTCCTATGGCTCCAGCTCACCAGCCCTGTCGAACCGGCAGCGCTTCCCCACATTCTTTCGAACTCACCCGTCAGCCACACTGCACAATCCTACCCGGGTGAAGCTTTTTGAAAAGTGGGGCTGGAAGAAGATCGCCACGATCCAGCAGACCACCGAAGTCTTCACGTCGGTGAGCAGGGATGGGGCAAAGGGCGCCGCCCACTCGGAGCGGAGATTGGGGGGTCCCTTCTGGGGGGACATTGATGCTTTACCACGGGAGAACACATTCTTTCCAGGTGGGTTAGGTGCGTGTTCTCTCTATGCCAGAGGCATGAACAAGTTGAATTTTCAGGATCCTCTCCAACTCTTTGGTTTTAGGGTTTCCCCAACTTTGTTGCTTTGTTCCCCAGGCAGGTAGTCCCCAAATGACCCAGTTCTATTAAAGTAGGTTTACTCCAAAGTCAGGACACAGTAAGGGAGAGACTAAGCCATAGGAACCCAGGGAGGCAGCAGGTTCCAGAGGCACTCAGAGGGGTGCGTGTGAGTGGTGTGAGTGGTGTGAGTGGTGTGTGTGAGTGTGGATGGTGCGGGTGGGTGGTGTGTGTGAGTGGTGTGAGTGGTGTGAGTGGTGTGTGTGAGTGTGGATGGTGCGGGTGGGTGGTGTGTGTGAGTGTGGATGGTGCGGGTGGGTGGTGTGTGAGTGGTGTGAGTGGTGTGGGTGGTGCGTGTGGTGTGAGTGGTGTGCGTGAGCGGTGTGTGTGGTGTGAGTGGTGTGCGTGAGTGGTGCGTGTGGTGTGAATGTTGTGTGTGAGCGGTGCGTGTGGTGTGAGTGGTGTGTGTGGTGTGAGTGGTGTGTGTGGTGTGAGTGGTGCGAGTGGTGTGAGTGGTGTGCGTGAGCGGTGTGTGTGGTGTGGGTGGTGTGCGTGAGTGGTGCGTGTGGTGTGAATGTTGTGTGTGAGCGGTGCATGTGGTGTGAGTGGTGTGTGTGGTGTGAGTGGTGCGAGTGGTGTGAGTGGTGTGTGTGAGTGGTGCGTGTGGTGTGAGTGGTGTGCGTGAGCGGTGCGTGTAGTGTGGGTGGTGTGCGTGAGTGGTGCGTGTGGTGTGAGTGGTGTGTGTGGTGTGAGTGGTGCGTGTGGTGTGAGTGGTGTGTGAGCGGTGCATGTGGTGTGAGCGGTGCGTGTGGTGTGAGTGGTGTGTGTGAGCGGTGCGTGTGGTGTGGGTGGTGTGTGTGGTGTGAGTGGTGTGTGTGGTGTGAGTGGTGTGAGTGGTGTGCGTGAGCGGTGCGTGTGGTGTGGGTGGTGTGTGTGGTTTGAGTGGTGCGTGTGGTGTGAGTGGTGTGTGTGGTGTGAGTGGTGCGTGTGGTGTGAGTGGTGTGTGTGAGCGGTGCGTGTGGTGTGGGTGGTGTGCGTGAGTGGTGCGTGTGGTGTGGGTGGTGTGCGTGAGCGGTGCGTGTGGTGTGAGTGGTGTGTGTGAGTGGTGCGTGTGGTGTGAGTGGTGCGTGTGGTGTGAACGGTGCGTGTGGTGTGAGTGGTGTGTGTGAGTGGTGCGTGTGGTGTGAACGGTGCGTGTGGTGTGAGTGGTGTGTGTGAGTGGTGCGTGTGGTGTGAATGATGCGTGTGGTGTGAGTGGTGTGTGTGGTTTGAGTGGTGCATGTGGTGTGAGTGGTGCGTGTGGTGTGAACGGTGCGTGTGGTGTGAGTGGTGTGTGTGAGTGGTGCGTGTGGTGTGAATGATGCGTGTGGTGTGGGTGGTGTGTGTGGTTTGAGTGGTGCATGTGGTGTGAGTGGTGCGTGTGGTGTGAACGGTGCGTGTGGTGTGAGTGGTGTGTGTGAGTGGTGCGTGTGGTGTGAATGATGCGTGTGGTGTGAGTGGTGTGTGTGAGCGGTGCGTGTGGTGTGGGTGGTGTGCGTGAGCGGTGCATGTGGTGTGAGTGGTGTGTGTGAGCGGTGCGTGTGGTGTGGGTGGTGTGCGTGAGCGGTGCGTGTGGTGTGGGTGGTGTGCGTGAGCGGTGTGTGTGGTGTGAGTGGTGTGTGTGAGCGGTGCATGTGGTGTGAGTGGTGCGTGTGGTGTGAGTGGTGTGTGTGAGTGGTGCGTGTGGTGTGAGTGATGCGTGTGGTGTGAGTGGTGTGTGTTGTGAGCGGTGCGTGTGGTGTGAGTGGTGTGTGTGAGCGGTGCATGTGGTGTGAGCGGTGCATGTGGTGTGAGTGGTGCGTGTGGTGTGAGTGGTGTGTGTGAGTGGTGCGTGTGGTGTGAGTGATGCGTGTGGTGTGAGTGGTGTGTGTTGTGAGCGGTGCATGTGGTGTGAGTGGTGAGTGTGGTGTGAGTGGTGCGTGTGGTGTGAGTGGTGCGTGTGGTGTGAGCGGTGTGTGTGGATGGCAGCAGGGCGGAGCTATGGAAATGGACACAGGGCTGGGGCGGGGGAAGACGGGACAGAGACAAGACAGGGAGGTAGGGAGGGAAGGAAAGGCAGAGGGACAGACAGAGGAGAAGGGCAGAAAGCTGGGCGTGTGAATGAGGATGCTGACCAGGCGAGGCGGGGCAGGCTGTGGAGGTGGAGAAGCAGCACGTGGTCCACCTGAAGCAGACAGTTGGCTTCCTCTCTTTTGTTCTAGTCTTTGAACCCTCTATTCACTCCCGTGTTCGGTGACCCTTTCATCCTCCCCCACTTTCTCCTAGTGATTCCGGACATTCTCCCTCCGGTCCTTTTGTCTGTCTGCTCACTTGCCTCTTGAGGTTGACATCATCCTGTCTATACTAGGCCCTGCTTTGTCTTTCCTGTTTCCTGTCTCCTTTCCCCCCATGTTTGCTGTTTGTGGTAAGAGGGCGTGAGTGGGTGACTTGTCTGGACACAGATGCTCAGGAGGGCCCCCATGCACCTCCTCATTTGGAAGCCACATCCTGAGGCCCCAGGTGCCTTCCTTTGAACACTCTCCACTCCAGACAGAACATGTGGAAGGAGTGAGGTTCACACCACTGCTCCTTTGCTGAGTGTGCAGTCCTGGTGAGATCGCTGGTCTTCACCCGCTGCGCACCCCATGTTTCCTCTATCCGTACCCACCGAAGACTCTGGATGATCTAGAGGAGCGAGTGAAGGAGGCTGGGATTGAGATCACTTTCCGCCAAAGTTTCTTCTCGGACCCCGCTGTGCCTGTCAAGAACCTTAAGGTGGGACGCTGGGGGCGGGGCAGTGGTGGGTGGGAGAGATGAGCCAGATGGGGGATGTTGTTGTTTGGTGTTTACATTGAGATGTAAATGACACATGGCACTGTGTAGGCTGGAGGTGCAGCGTGCTGGTCTGACACATCAGTTTGCAGGGTGGTCGCCACCCTAGCGCGAGCTGACGCCTCCCTCACAGTCCCATCACTCTGATTCCGTGAGGCAGTGACATCTCCCGGGGGAGTTGACCTCCACTTCCCAGTTGACATTCATCCACTGCCTATTGACCATTGCACACGATGCCCTTCAGGACAGGAAGTCGGGGGGTGGGGGGCGCTGGGCGGAGCCCCTCGGCCTCAGGTGCCAGGAGTTCTGTCTTTCTCCATTCTGCAGCGCCAGGATGCCCGGATCATCGTGGGACTTTTCTATGAGACCGAAGCCCGCAAAGTCTTTTGTGAGGTGGAGTTGGGATCTGAAGAGGGGGGGCACTGGAAGGCTCTTTGCTAGGGTGTCTCATGGGGTCTCCTCTCCGAATCCCTGCTGAGGTTGATAGCAGATGATCCGAGGTGATAATTGACATGATGTTCACATCTGTTGGCTCTGACTCCGTCTCTTGGCTTCTCACACACATGGGGCTTTCTCCAGATCTCATTTTTCTACTGCTTTGTGTTTCTGGAGGAGGCTGTTTCCCTACTGGCTAGAAGGAGCCCTTGAAAATAGAGGCTGGGGAGAAACGTAGGAGAAGTAACTGAGCCTTTCCTTCTATCCATCCTCAGACCTGCAGCTTTCTCTCTTCATCTCTCTGCCCTCTCTGATTGCCCCGAGATAAGTACATAGTGGCATGTGAGATAAGGCAAAAAATGAAACAAAGACCCAGTCCTCCTCCTCCTTTGCACTCAGGTGTACAAGGAACGGCTCTTCGGGAAGAAATATGTCTGGTTCCTCATCGGGTGGTATGCTGACAATTGGTTCAAGACCTATGACCCGTCCATCAACTGCACAGTGGATGAGATGACCGAGGCTGTGGAGGGTCACATCACCACTGAGATTGTCATGCTGAACCCTGCTAACACCCGCAGCATCTCCAACATGGTGAGGGTGTGGGGACTGTCAAAGCTGGCACCTGGGCAGGTGGGGAGGACCGAGGGAGCCTCGAAGGGGAGGGAGCAGGTGTGGAGTTTAGAGGTTCAGGGGCACGGGGCCTGTGCCCACTTTGAACTTGTTTACATCATGTTTCCTGTGGATTCCACTTCTGCTCTGCCTTCCTTGGGCAGGAAAGAGGAGATGACGAGTGGAAGGGCTGTTACCATGGAAATGAGGAGCAGTTGACAGGAAGCGGGATGAGGGAGAGGTTTGCTGTAGCAAGCACCCCTTTACGGGAGCACTGTCCAGGGTGTGTTCTTTTCTCGGTTGGTACTCAATCTGCAGGTCTCCTGGTGCTTTTCTGATGATCCTTCTAGAATTTCAGATGTAAAGGGGACTTTTGAAATCATTTGGCCCCAGCCCTGCAGCCGAGGGCACAGGTGAGGAGGGTGTGAGGGGAAGAGGTACATCTTAGGGAACACAGAGTCTCGGTGGTGGAGAGGACCAGCCCAGGTCTGGGACACCTGCTCTGCACAGCACGCTGTGGTGAGTTCGGGTATAAAGCCCCTGAAGTATCTCATGAAAGCAAAGTTCTGGTAATTGCTTTGTGTCGTAAACCAGGAGCTTGGACACGTAATTTCAGTGCTCTGATGTAGATTTCTCATTTCCGTTTTATACATCAGGAAACCGAGACTTGGAGAGGTTAGGTGATTTAATTGTCCCAGGCCATGTAACTAGGCTGGAAGTCAGTCCTTGTTGACTCTAAATCCGAACCACTGTGCCCCGTCACCTTCCAGGGAAACCATGACGTCTGACTAAAAAGTTTCTACTTTTATTGGCTAACACTATTTTTGAGCAAGAGAGAAAGCAGGTCCAGGAAGTTTATCTGGCAGTGGGCTGTGATGGAGAGGTCAGCTGCCATGTGGACTCTGATTATAGACAGGGCCCTGGGGCATTCTCAGGGACTCTGTGTAAGGTATCTTGGTTGAAAATGCCATGAAAAACTTCTGGAAGTCACTTGACAGGTGAGTCATCCTGGAGAACCTAGGGAAGTGGAGGACCCAGTAACCGAAGTCCAAAAGGTTTGTTGGTGCCCTGAGCCCAAGACCTTCCTCTCGTGGCCTTTGCCTCCTAACGGGGAGCTGAAGGAGCCCCTGACAGGAAGCAGGGGTGTGGTTAGTGATGTGAAGGGACTTCTGGGCTTTGGAGCAGAATGAATTTGTGGAGGTCTTCTTCTGTGTCTCGGTCTCTAGAGAGAGATGTGTGCCTGCCTTCAAGCTCATAAGGCTTTGGTGACCCTCGGCCTGCTGGGTCCCCTAAGTGCCAGAGGTAGAAGCAGCCTTAACAGCTAACTGGGGAAGAGACTATAGGTGACTTGAACAGGACCAAGTGACGTGGGTCAGGAGCAAGGGTTGGTCTTGGGGCCCAGAGCCCTGGCAACTCAGAAAAGAAGCAGAGGTGATGGCCTTGGGTTTAGATGAATAGTTCTCAAACTGAGCTTCCGTGAGAACCACCTGGAAGGTCAGTGAGTGTGCAGAGTACTGGCCTCTTCCCTTGGAAGTTCTGATACAGGAGGTCTGGGGTAGGCCTAGGCATTTACATGTCAGACAAGTTCCCTGGGACGTCGATGCTTCTGGTTTGGGGACCATATTTTGAGAACTGTTGGTTAGAGCAGTGGTTTTCAACCAGAGGTTGCGATATCTAGGGCTGACTTGCTGGTCACCACTGCTGCCTGGTGGTAATCCAGGATCCTTCGAAGGTGTCCTGCAAAGGACCAGACAGTCCCCCACAAAAAGGACCCCTGCTCCAGGGTGTAGAGCAGATGCGAGAAACCCTGGTTTGGAGCCTCCAGGAGCCTGGTCAGCGCGGGTCTGGAGAGGTCGTCGCTCGGGGCTAGGGGCCGGTGGGTGGCGGGGTGGGATTGTGAGTGAAATGAGTAAGTTCTGATTGGAATGGAGGTCCCGTCAGATCTGGGGACAAGACAAAATAAAACCTACCTCAGTGAACACATCTACGTCAGTGTTGCGTCCCTTCTCACACGCAGAAACAGCCAGACAGGGCTGCTAAAAAATCAGTGTCATAAATTTACACTTGGTTAATGTCACTAATTTCTATGGATTATGGACTTTTTGTTGCTCTGTTTTCCTCAATTTGCCTAGTAACATTTCCAGTTGAAAACTGACAACCATGTTGTTTGCTGACCTGAGGAGGAGAGATGCTTCTGGGACTGTCGTCATGTGGGTGTGGTGCCGCCCGCGGCTGAGCGTCAGTGGTGGTGACCTGGAGCCAGCGGAGCGGGGGTCGGGCAGGGCGACCTCCAGCAGAGCTGAGTCCCTGCCTGTTGGGGTGATCTTCTGATGTTGGGTTTACTTTGAACTGCAGATTGGGTAGAGCTGGAGGCCGAGGGACTGCTCATCAGAGAGCCTCAGCTGCCCTGGCTGGTAGCTCAGTCGGTTAGAACGTTTTCCTGTTACATCAAGGTTGTGGGTTTGATCCCCGGTCAGGGCACATACAAGAACCAAACAATGAATGCATAAATGGGTGGAACAACAAATCAATGTTTCTCTCTCTCTCTCTCAAAAAATCAATTAAAAATTATTAAAAAGAGCCCTGGCCGGTTTGGCCCGTGGTCCAGAGAGACCCACCCGGGTTCGGTTCCCGCTAAGGGCACGAACCTCGTTGCAGTTTGCCCCCGGCCCTGGTTGGTTGCGTGGGTGGTAACCAGTCGATGTTTCTCTCTCCCGCTCTGTCTGAAGATGAAGGCGAATATGTCCTTGGGTGAGGATAGAAATGAGAAGCCTCGGCCTCACTGCTCACCAGGTGCGCTCGGAGCGGGCGGCCAGGGCGGTTCTGGGGGGTCAGGGCTCCTGGCTTGGAGCCCTGCCACACACCAGCAGTGCAGCTTCAGACAGGCTCGACTTTTCTGTGACTCAGTTTCCTCATTTCTGAAATGGGCCATAAGCCTCATTGAATTATTTACGGATTAAATAAATGGATATCTGTACCTTAGAAAAATGCTTGGTACATTGTACAGATAATATAATCGCTAAGCATTGTTATTACTATTAACGTTATTCTGTGTAGGGAGGCTTGATGTTAATGGAACATTTCAACAAAAGAATTAGAGAACTTGGTGATTTGAAAGAGTCTAAGGTGATGTGAAGGATTCAGTCTCATGTACTGGGAAGTGTTAGAGTGAAGGAAATTGAGCTTTCACTCTTAGGTATTTTTAATTTGAGCTCGTTGATCATGTAGTTACAGATGCAATATCAATGATATTTTTTCCATTGATTTTTAGAGAGTGGAACAGAGAGAGGAAGAGAGAAAGAGAAACATTGATGTGAGAGAGACACATCAATTGATTGCCTCCCGCATGACCCCAATAGGGGCCTGGGGTTGATCCTGCAACCCAGGTACAAGCCCTTGACCGGGAATCGAACCTGTGACCCTTTGGTCAGAGGGCCGATGCTCTAACTGCTAAGTTCACAGCAAAGTTGAGAGGTAGGTGTGGAGATTTTGCATATGCCTTGCCCCTGCATATGCATAGACTCCCGCACTAGCACCGTTTTCCAGAGCGGTTGCAACGGATGAGCCTTCCCTGACATACCAACCCCCGGTCCACAGTTCCCATGGGCTTGTCTTCGAGTTCTGCATCTGTGTGTATGTAATGACCATTATAGTACCATGCAGAGTATTTTCACTGTGCCAATCCAATGGACATCCATTGCGGGCTGGGCACAGTGCTGGGTTCTAAGAGTGGACAGAGGCGTGGAACCTGACCCTGTCCACAGGGCGGAGAGCTTGGCCGTCTGTCCTCAAAGCCAGGCTGTTCTGCTGCGTCGCACTGCCCGTCCTCTGCAGTTTCTCCTCCTCTGTGTCTCCAGACAGTTGAATAGAAAGAAAAGTGGGCAGGGCATAGGGAATGAAGACTTTTGCTTTAAATCCTCACCCAAGGATATGTCTTTTTTTTTTTTATCCTCCCCTCAGGACATTTTTGCATTCATCTTCAGACAGAGTGAGAGGGAGAGAGAGAGAAACATTGATGTGGGAGAGACACATCGACTGGTTGCCTCCCACATGACCCCAGCCAAGGCCGGGGACGAACCACAACTGGGTACGTCCCTGACCAGAATCGAACTCAAGACTCTTTGGCCCACCGGCCGACACTCTAACCACTGAGCAAACTGCCCGGGTGGGAATGAAGACTATTATTCTTCATTCATTTTTTTATTTCTTCATTAGAGTGTGTTTATGTTTATATTTAAAATGCAAACAGAGTGTGCCCGTGTCTTCTTTGTGCTTTGCCAAGAGGTGGCACTGAGCCTTTTCGCGTGTGGTTTCTGGGAGGGGAACAGGCAGGTGTGATGTTCTCCATTAGGTGGAGGACAATGCCAAACACAGAGCAGTTCACCTGTGGCCATTTAGCTAGGTGACTGCCAGGACGGAGACCCAGGTCCCCGGACTCATTCCATGACAGAGGTAAGGGAGCTTTCTTAGAAAAACCAGAGTGGGGGTTGGGAGCGGTGTGGGTAGGGATTGATTCCTAGACGTTCAGCTGCTGGGGCTATTTCTGCGGTGCTCAGTCTTCTGAAACCACCTGAAGTCGGTGAGCTGAAAGCGCACGGGATGTGGGAAGTCAGCACACTGAAGGACCGCGCTGGTGGACAGGTGGAGAGAGGGGGGTGCGGTGCCACCTCCTCTGGGGTCTTGGCGAATCGGAGGAACTGCTAGGTCTGGGCCAGCCCCCCTGGGAAAGTCAGGCTGTGCACACGGCCTCCCTCTGGCCTTTCTCCATCCCTGCTCTCTGTCCTTGCCATTTATCATGCAGCGTCTGTTCACTGACCCTCTCTGTTTGCAGCTCGGAGACCATCGGTCCCAGCTGCCCCGCTCCAGTCCAGTGGCTTCTGATGTGCAGCTGGCACCCAGGGGCCGTCAGGGGCCTAAGTGCTCATGTGCTCAGCCCTGACGACAGGAACAAAACTGTCTGTTCAAGTCCAGTGTCAGAGCCAGAATCTGGTGCCCCCACCCCTCACCTTCCCACACCCCAATCCTTTCCTCCGCAGACATCCCAGGAGTTTGTGGAAAAACTGACCAAGCGACTAAAAAGACATCCTGAGGAGACAGGTGGCTTCCAGGAGGCGCCGCTGGCCTACGATGCCATCTGGGCCTTGGCACTGGCCCTGAACAAGACGTCTGGAGGGGGTGGCCGTTCAGGTGTGCGCCTGGAAGACTTCAACTACAACAACCAGACCATCACCGACCAGATCTACCGGGCAATGAACTCCTCGTCCTTTGAGGGTGTCTCTGTGAGTTCCGGGGATCTCCTTCACACCCTGCTGCCCTCCTGTTGAGAGCGAGTCCCTTCTGGAAACAAGCGACTGCCTCTCAGCTGCCTCCCGAGTCATCAGTCAGGCCAAGGAGGCAGGGACTCCCAAACCAGAACAGCCCACCAGGGGCTGGAAGGGGAAGTGGCCGGTTTCATCCCTTTCAACCCCTCCCCTCATTTCTTTTCAGTCCAGATATTTATGAGTCAGATAAGAATCCTAGGGTTTTGAAAGAGGAAACAGATCATCTCTATATTCCTTTTAAAGTGGGAAAATCGCATGCTGAGGGGTGTGGCGGCCTGCTGAAGGTCACACAGCCAGAGCCAGGCCCCCCGCTCCGGTGCTCTTTTGGGGATTCTTCTGTTCAAATCTCATGGGTGAAGCTTCTCAAAAGAATGATGTTTCTGAAATCCAGGGTATGGGTATCTGGGGTATGTCCTATATGCGGGCCAATGCCATAAATAGAATCCATTGAAAAGCTCAATTAACATCAAGAACAAGGATTCAGAGTCCTTGGTGTCCCGTCACTCGCGCACCTGCCTCCTCCGCAACTTCTCTCCGCAGGGCCACGTGGTGTTCGATGCCAGCGGCTCTCGGATGGCGTGGACGCTTATTGAGCAGCTCCAGGGTGAGCACAGGGGCAAGAAGTCAGGGGGCCGGGCCAGGTGGGGACCCCAGGGGACATCACAGAGGTGTGAGGTCAGGGGGACGGGCTGGGCGGGGACCCCAGGGGACATCACAGGGGTGAGAGGTCAGGGGGCCGGGCTGGGCGGGCACCCCAGGGGACATCACAGAGGTGTGAAGTCAGGGGGCCGGGCTGGGTGGGGACCCCAGGGGACATCACAGGGGTGAGAGGTCAGGGGGCCGGGCTGGGCGGGGACCCCAGGGGACATCACAGGGTGTGAGGTCAGGGGGCCAGACTGGGCAGGGACCCCAGGGGACATCACAGAGGTGTAAGGTCAGGGGGCCGGGCTGGGCGGGGACCCCAGGGGACATCACAGGGGTGAGAGGTCAGGGGGCCGGGCTGGGCGGGGACCCCAGGGGACATCACAGAGGTGTGAAGTCAGGGGCCGGGCTGGGTGGGGACCCCAGGGGACATCACAGGGGTGAGAGGTCAGGGGGACGGGCTGGGTGGGGACCCTAGGGGACATCACAGGGGTGAGAGGTCAGGGGGCTGGGCTGGGCTGAGTCCCCAGGGGACCACAGGAGGGCCTTGGTGCCTCTGCACCCCCCTTCTCTTCTGTGTTCATCAAGCTTGTAACTAACAGCGATGGCAGTAATAGTAAGGACTGAGTCGCAGGGTTGTGTTCTTGCTTTCTGGAAACTGCACTGTTTCCCCATTGGCATTCATTCAATCCCAGAAAGTCCCTTTTGGTGGCTTGGGTTGAGGGTTAGTGGCTTGTCACCTCATACCCACGGGCTCAGGGAAAACTGGATCTAGGAAAACTATTTTTAAAAATAACTTTAGAGGACATTTGTTGAAGCTGGGACAGCGAAACAGGGAGGGGCTGGGGAAGGAGCCCAGGCGGGCTGCCTGGCTCACCGAGAGGTCGGAGAGGGGCCTGGGGCCTGGGGCCGGGCTCAGGTGCCCAGGAGGGACTAACACCCACTGCTGCAGTTTGCGGGCCTTGAGGGGTCTCAGCGTCCAGGAGGGGCTGCCTGCGGGGGAAGGGGAGGAGGTGGGGTGTGCTCCTGGGAGGAGAACACTCCTAAAGGGAACTTATAGAATGTTCTTGCTACGGAAGGAAGCATTCTTTATTTTTCTGTAGTATGTGGAGTCTGGCTTTTCTAGGTTGTATTTTAAAAAATACTTTTTTTTTTCTTTATTGATTTTAGAGAGAGAGGAAGGGAGAGGGAGAGATAGAAACATCAATGAGAGAACATAGATAGGCCTGCAGGCCCTCGTTGGGGATCCGCCCACAATCTGGGCATGTGCCCTGACCAGGAATCAAACTGGCGACCTCTTGGTGCAGGGTTGACGATCTTCCACTGAGCCACACCGGCCGCGCTGTACTTCTTTCTTCTTTTTTTAAAAAATAACTCAGCACACTTACATATTTGCAAAACTTTTGACTTAATTTTTCAACTCTACCCCACTCAGCCACTTGTAGCATGGCCGAGAGAGACACGTCTTGGCTCCTGTGAAGAGTTTCTTTCCTTCTGTCTGCCACCGCCCACGCCCTCCCAGACGCGTCTGTGCCCAGGAGGCGGAAGGGGCTCTGCGGGGGGAGGGGTGGGAGCGCCAGGGGGGAGGGGTGGGAGCGCCAGGGTAACGCGGTTCCAGGGCAGAAATCTCGCGAGCGCCTGCATGTCCCTCTGCGGTCCTTTAAGAGGCCAGTGCAACTTGTTTAAAGAATTAGAGCCCAAGCCAACCAACACAGAAGACATTTATAAAACTAAAATGAAAGCCACTGGGGAAGAGATTCTGTCTATTATGAGAGGAGAACAAACAAGTGTTTAAAACTTTAAAGCTAGAATCAAAGTGGAGGCCTCTAGCCGAGGTGGGGCCGCGGAATGAGCCGCAGACACTGGCTCTTCTTTGCCGAAGCGCTTTCCTTCCCCACACGACCTGCCCACACTGCTCTCAGTCAGACGCCTGCATTCAGGACCTCTCCGGCCCTTCTAAGTATCTGCAGGGGCCCAGGGTGAAGGGAAAGTCAGGCGCAACCTCAGAAAGCCACTTGGGGAAGTGGAAGGTTGAGAATGCCCAGGGTCGGCTCCGCACTTGCCCACGGTCACTCCTGTGTCATCTGCCCAGGTGGCAGCTACAAGAAGATTGGCTACTATGACAGCACCAAGGATGACCTTTCCTGGTCCAAGACAGATAAGTGGATTGGTAAGTGGGTCCTTGATATTTTCCTTCAACCCCTCTGAACAATCACGGAAAACAGTCAAGCATTTGAATGAAGGTGGGGTGGTAGGTACGCTAGGTTGAAATGCTCCAGGGACGTGGACCAGGGTCCTGGGTTAAGAGAAAGGGAACACCCCCAAGGCGGGAGACCGGTGTGGGGAGGGCGGGGCAGTGGGTAGCACGCACTATCAAGAGGAGTCACTGGGGCTGGCAGGGCAGCTGGGGCAGGAGGCAGAAACTCCATCTGGGTCTCGTAGATGTTCTGGTGCCTTGATGTATCAGGCCTGGAGTTGCCTCTTTATCTCTGTCAAGAGAACAGTTGCTTAAACTATAGGACAGGATGGAAATGGTCTCCTGCTAAAATGTGCGTTTTAAGGAGGGAAAGTAAGCAACATTGTGTGTGTGCTTGGTGGGCTAACATAGCAGGAAATGGGCAAGAGGAAGGTCCTTCTGATAAAATAAAGGCTCGGCATCTTCAGGAAGGAGAGAGGCGCAGCCGCGGGAGACCCCTGCCCCCGCCGCCCCGCTGGGGTTCTGCAATGTTATGTAACTTGAATTTGGGGCAGTGTTCTGTACCTCTGTAGATGCTGCCTGGCCTAAATTACACTTTCCCCCCAGCTAAGGAAATCAAAATTAGCTTTTTTCCCCCGTGAACTCTGACCAATTTAAGCTTCCTCTTAATGATAACTGGAAAATACCTTTGGGAATATCACCTACCAGGGTTAAGATCATAGATGAATTTTTGTTTCTTCTTTTTGTAATGTTCAGAGGCCAGAGTGATACTTGGAGGCTCTTTAGCTTTATGATTCCACAGTCATTACACTTTTTTGCAGCTTTTGATTTGAGTTATAAGAAACCTCATAATTTTCTTAGCTATCCCCTTCTTCCCCTTCCCATTTTCCTTTACTATAAGAAACACAGAAAAACAGAAAGAACAAACAATAACAAAAAAAGACTACAGCCTCAGCCTTTGACAGCCTCTAGGTCGGACGTTCTCCCCGTCTGGGTGCCTTTCGCGCTGCTCCCAAGGGCCCTGCCCTGCAGCGCGGCCCAGGGCGCCCCGGCCTCCTGCCCACGCGCCCGGAGGCCGGTCCACTACAGCTCCGTCTGCAGCCTGCCCGACCCCTCACCCCTTCCTTCTCTCTCCCTTCGCCCTCCCCGTGCCACAGGAGGGCTGCCCCCCGCCGACCGGACCCTGGTCATCGAGACGTTCCGCTTCCTGTCACAGAAACTCTTTATCTCCGTCTCGGTTCTCTCCAGCCTGGGCATTGTCCTAGCTGTTGTCTGTCTGTCCTTTAACATCTACAACTCTCATGTCCGGTAAGTGTATCTTCTGACAGTTTTCTTGTCGTTTCTGTCTTTCCAAGATAGTGGTCATCGAAGGGACGGAAAATCAAGTCTGTGACTCTGAGGCCCTATATCGTTGAGGTTTTCACTCTGATTTACCGCTTTCTTTTTTTTTAAATATGTTTTTATTGATTTTTTTAGAGAAAGAGGAAGGGAGAGAGACAGAAACATTGATGAGAGGACACGTCAATTGGCTGCCTCCTGCACGCCCCCCACTGGGGATCGAGCCCTCCCCCCGGGCATGTGCCCTGACCGGGAACTGAACCGGGCCCTCGCAGTCCATGGGCGATGTTCCATCCACCGAGCCACACGGGCAGGCTCTTTCTTAATGATCAGAAAATGGAAGGAAGGAAGCCAGAGAGAGCTCCCACCGCTGCTCCAAAGCAGTTACTGAAGCAAAAAGAAGCCTCTGGGCCAGGCGGCCAGTCAGGGCTGCGAGCGGAGAGTGCTGGGCCTGGGCGCCCTCGCCAGCCCTCCCGCAGCCGGCCTGTCCTGTGGCCCCGCAGGGGATGACTGCTGGCCCTCTCCCGCCCGCCTCTGCCCTAGGTACATTCAGAACTCACAGCCCAGCCTGAACAACCTGACCGCTGTGGGCTGCTCGCTGGCGCTGGCTGCCGTCTTCCCACTCGGGCTGGACGGACACCACATCGGGAGGAGCCAGTTCCCCTTCGTCTGCCAGGTGAGGGGCGGGCGGGCGGCACCCCCTTGGGAGCGCCTTCTGTGACCGCTGGCTCCCTGTGCTAACGCCGGCCAGGCTCCGTCGCTTCTCTCTGCATCTCCAGAGCTTCCATTCTGTGGCTCACTTGTCAGCTCCAAGGTTGCCATGGCTCCAAGGTTGCCATGGCACGCCTTGCAGAGAAGAGGGGGGGTTAAAGACGAAGGAAGGGGGTCTGCACAGAGGAACAGTGGTGGCTTGTCTGTGGTGTGGGGACTGACAATAAGAACTGGGTTTCCTGTGGGAGCTTAGTTGGAGCTGGGAAGGACAGAGGCAGAAATCTGAATTGACAGCTGGGACAGTGGGGGAGGGACACTGTTACACAGGGAGGAGGCCCTGCAGGACTCTTGATACTTGGAAGATTCTGGAGCTGTGGGGAAAGGCTGGTTTCAACAGTGATATTTGTGTGGTTCTATGTTATGCTGGGAGGAAACACCCACTGTTTTCCTGCCCACCTTGCTCCTCCCGCTCCTCTGCCTGGTACCTGTCCCTGGCAGGCACCTCTACACAAGTGTTTGCACACGCACATCGGGCGAGAGGGAGGCCTGTCTGCGGGAGGCAGCTTGCTGCGGTGCACGTGAGGGTGTCAAAGAGGGGTCCGTGCAGAGTGCTGTGGGAGCACATGGGCAGCTCAGAGCTGTTGGGGGCCTCAAAGAAGGGGTGGTATTTGAATACTGAAGGGTGCATGGGACTTGGTCAGCTGGAGAAATAAAGGATTGAGGGAACATCCTGTGGCAAAGGCACAAAAACAGCAGGGGGAGCCAGCTGCGCAGCATGGGCCGGCGCGGGCCGCCGAGGCCTGGCGCTGAGCCTGGAAGGCAGGTGAGGCCGAGCTGCCATGCCCTAGGTGTCTGGGCTGCAACCTGTAGGCATTGGGGAGCAGTCAGAAGTGGCTGGTGGTTACAACCAGGAGGTTTTCGCCAGATCACCTGGTGGCAAAGTAGAAGGTGAATGGGAGGAATTTGTTGAAGGCAGGGAGACCCTTCCCTGTGGGCTCTCCCTCCCCCTCCTGTCCCCTGCTGGCTGCCCCTGCTGCAGCCCCGCCCAGTTCTGCTTGTGGCCCTCTCCTTTTCTAGGCCCGGCTCTGGCTCCTGGGTCTGGGCTTTAGTCTGGGCTATGGCTCCATGTTCACTAAGATCTGGTGGGTGCACACAGTCTTCACAAAGAAGGAGGAGAAGAAGGAGTGGAGGAAGGTGAGCTGCCTGCCATCCCTCGGCCCCGGTGCTCCGCTGTCCGCCTGAGGGGACTTCCTCCACTTGCCTGTACTCCGTGTTTACCCAGACCCTGGAGCCCTGGAAGCTGTACGCCACCGTGGGCCTGCTGGTGGGCGTGGACGTCCTCACTCTGGCCATCTGGCAGATTGTGGACCCCTTGCACCGGACCATTGAGGTACCGCTTGGGTCAGGAGGCCGAGGTCTCCTTGGGGCTGCGTGTGGTCTTGAGGAGGAAAGCCCCTCTCGGGAGGCCGCCTTTCTGCAGGTCACAGCTTCCCCTCCTTCCCAGGAGGGGCCCGCCTGAGGCCTCTGGTTCTTCTGAAGAACAAGTGGTGGGGGGCTGGGAAGGGTGAGCACACTCTCCAGCATCATGGAGAGGGGAGGAAGCATTCCTGAGGTGTTCGGGAGAATGCTTCCGGGCCTGGGGTGGAATTTGGCCTCAGTACGAGGGGGTCTTGGAGGCAAAAGGGGCAGAGTTAGAAGTTAGGGGAGAATGACCAGCAACATTCCTGTGGCCTTATTTCTCCCTTAGACGTTCGCCAAGGAGGAGCCGAAGGAAGACATCGACGTGTCTATCCTGCCGAAGCTGGAACACTGCAGCTCCAGGAAGATGAGCACCTGGCTCGGTGTGTGGCGGGAGGCCCGCGGGCACGGGCAGGTTCCGGGAAAGGTCTTTGGGAGAAGCAGCAGAGGTCTTCTGTCAGGCCAGTGGATGTCCTTTCTGAGAGCGGGCACCGTGGGTCTGACGGGCTTCCTGTCTGAAGGAGGGGTCAGGGCTCGTTCTCCTCTCGGACCTGATACCGTCTGTGCCTGGACAGCTCCCTGGAGTGAGATGGGCTGTGAGGGTTTAGGTCCCTTCTGGCCTTTTAAAACCACTCTGATCTGTGACCACAAACGGCAAACCTACCCTTAGTCTGGAAAGCTGGCTTCCCGCCCGGAAGTAAGGGGTGAGACAGTGTGGCCCAGGCCCCGGCCTGCCCATCACCTTCCTGTGTGACATGGTGCCCAGGCCCAGGAGGAGTGGTGAGGTGGGGTGTGCTGGGTGCACCCTGGGCACAGTGAACAGGGTGGGGTTGCAGGTCAGGGGTGATTGGGGGGAGGCCCCCTTTTCGTTGCGGAGCTACAAGAAAGGGCAGCGGAGGGCAGCTGGCACGGAGCAGGGTGAGGGGCGCAGAGGTCTTGGTGCACAGGTGACCCTTCCCTGCTGTCGCAGGCATTTTCTATGGCTACAAGGGGCTGCTGCTGCTGCTGGGCATCTTTCTCGCTTACGAGACCAAGAGTGTGTCCACCGAGAAGATCAATGACCACCGTGCTGTGGGCATGGCCATCTACAACGTGGCGGTGAGCTCCCTGGGCTCCTGGCATCGACCCCAGGGGCTGACGGCCGCAGCGCAAATGGGGGGCCTGGGAAGGATCAGGTGCTGGATCGAGGGTCAGTTGGGTGGAAGTCTTAAAGAGCTTTTTAATCTTCGGATTTGTCAAGTACTTTACAGTTTCTAAAATATGCACAGCACTATCTCATCCGCCTTCAAACAGCCGCCCAGTGCAGTGGATGCGAGTGTCTCCGCCTTGCAGACCAGGGGCGAAGGAAAGGCTGGTCTGTGCGCAGGCAGGATCTGGGTTGGGAGTTGCGGCCAGGTGTGCCAGGGACGCACTGCCCAGGACTCTGGCTGTGTGTCTGGGACGCGAGCTCCTGCCGCAGGGACGGGCTGACTTAGGGCTGGAGGTGCTTTGGACAGTCTGTTTGCCATCCTTAAGCTGGAGTTGAGATGATCCCAAGTTTGGATCCTTTCCACACGGAAAGCACCAGGAACCTGACCTCACAGGGTTCCCCTGGGGAAGAAAAGCCCGGACCTCGGGAGCCTGCAGATCTGACCCCTCACACACTGTGCGCAGGTGCTGTGCCTCATCACTGCCCCCGTCACCATGGTCCTGTCCAGCCAGCAGGATGCAGCCTTTGCCTTCGCCTCTCTAGCCATCGTCTTCTCCTCCTACATCACCCTGGTGGTGCTCTTTGTGCCCAAGGTGAGCTTGGGGTGCTCCTCCACCCCACCCCTCCTGCCAGGATCTACTCCCCTGCTTGCCCCCTATTCCCTTTGTTTGAGGCCAAGCTGGTTCCTCTTATTTTCGTTCCTCCCAATTCCATCCCACCATCAGCCAATTGCTAACAGTCCGTGCTTGGTTCCCACACCCCAAACATTTACCCCCAGATGCGCAGGCTGATCACCCGAGGGGAATGGCAGTCGGAGGCCCAGGACACCATGAAGACAGGGTCTTCGACTAACAACCATGAGGAGGAGAAGTCCCGGCTGTTGGAGAAGGAGAACCGGGAGCTGGAGAAGATCATTGCCGAGGTGTGCCGACGTGGGGTGCGGTCAGGGTCCGGGGCCCCATCACAGGAGAACCTGCCAGGGAGTGAGTGCAGGCGGCCAGGGGGTGGCGGCCTCAGCAGGCGGGGGCCCTGCCCTGCAGCTGCAGGCATTCAGTCCCGACGCTGAGCACAGCCTCCGGGAGGGGTGGCAGGTACGCGGTGTCCACTGGCCCCTGGCTGTGCAGTGACCCCGCACGGGTTCAACTAGGTCGACACGAATCTGAGTTACTGGAAGCTGTGTTCGCTGACCTAGTCCGTTCCCCATTTTCTCTTACCGGATTTTTTTCCTCCAACGGTGCCCCCATATGGCCTTTGGCTTTCTTGTTCTTTCTGGATTGCTCATTTTAATTTCTTTAGTCCACCTACCTCTCTATCCTCACCTGTTTTTTCTCTGCCCCCACCCCCGTCCGTGACTGCCCTTCTCCCGCTACCCCAACTGTGTTTCTTCCCCAGAAAGAGGAGCGAGTCTCCGAACTGCGCCATCAGCTCCAGTCTCGGCAGCAGCTCCGCTCACGGCGCCCCCCTCCGACACCCCCAGACCCGTCTGCGAGCCTCCCCAGGGGCCCCCCTGAGCTCCCGGACAGGCTTAGCTGTGATGGGAGTCGAGTCCACTTGCTGTACAAGTGAGGGGTGTGGGGAGGGAAGTGGAGATGCCGGCCCCACTTGGGGTAGAAGCCCCGTCGGTCTCCTGTAAATACAGCCCTGTGTGTCCCGGGTCTCTGGGTCTCCCCGCCCCGGGACCAGACCCTTTGTCTCTGCTCGTCCACGTGGTTTCATGTCACTGCTTCACAACCCAGTCGGTGGGGCTCGGGAGCCCTGGCTCTGGCTCCCGCACCCACGCACGCACCCCTCCCTTCTCTGCCCCGCCCCCAGGACTCCCTGCCATTAGTGGTTTTCTGGGGAGATCAGAGGAGAGGAATGTGGGCAGGGTCGGGAGCTGCTCGGTGGACAGTTGGTGAGAACCTGGCCAGAGGACCTATGGGGCAAGAGGTGGTGTCGCTTTCACAGTGTGGTGTCTTTTGGGGACGGATCTCCCTGAATTCAATAAACCAGCGAGCAGAGTGGCTTCGGTCCCAGCACAGCCGGGAGGACTGCGCGGCCCTGGGGGGCAGGGAAGGGGAGGGCGGCGGGCATGGCTCTGGGCCGTGCGATGCCGTCGGTTCCCTGTGCGTCGAGGACCCGAGTTCGATCCCTGCACGCAGGCGCCCGGCCGGGTCCTCGTTCCAGACCGTAACAGGATCATGTCCCATCGCCACCGCCGTCACCGCCACGAACTTCCTCCGTAGGTGGCTTCAAGGACAGCAGCTTAGGTGGTTCTTGGCCCAAGGAGACCGAACGGAGCCGCCGTGGCTGCTGTGTAATGAGCTCACAGCGACGGGGCGGGGCCTTCCCCAGCACCCCGGCTTCCGGCACCGGCGGAGCACCAGCCAAGTGAAAGAAAGTATTGAATGTCCAATGGAGAAATAAACTAACTTGCCTAGGACTTTATAATAATTCTTTCTGTTTTTTTTTTTTTTTTTGAGAATTTCTGACAGTTTATTTGAGCCACACCGAACACGTATGCCAGGGAGCAAGACTCAGATGCTCCGTGAGAAGTGCTTTTTGAAGCTCAACTTTTCTCTTCCCCTTTGGCACTGATTTTTAAAGCAATTTTTGCCGAAGAGCCGCGCGGTTGGAACGGGCTCTGTCATTCCGTCAGCCTGTGGGAGCCGGGTCCTGTGGTTCCGTGAAATAGCAGTGGGTAGCCTCTTAGACCGGGGCTTGGAAAGCCTCCTGTGGTTATCTGCCTTGGACCATTGGGACTTCATTTGTGTGTCCTCCCCGCCGTGGGACGTGGGAGGAGAGGGCCGGTCCCGGCACAGAAGCTGCCCGTGGATAAGGAGCAGCGTCGTCAGAAGCAGCCACAGGAGCTGCGTGCGAGCCCTGGGTAGGACCTAACACACTGCGGTCACCAGCTCACACTTGCTTTGCACACAGGTGCAGTGCCTGTCACCAAGGAGCAGGGTTCCACCGGGCCAGGAAGAGCCGCACTGCTGGCAAAAGGGCAGGACCCAAGCCAACGACAGGGCTCGCAGGGGCTCCTGGTGGCTGGAGAGCGGTTGCCTGGCAGTGAGCCCACCTCACACTCTGCCTTTAGAGGGCGCCACGCTGGACTGCCGGCCAGGCCCTTGTGGCCTCCCTGCCTGCCTGGTCACTTACTGATGCCATTTGTGAGCACTGCTGCTCTGTTAGGTTAGTTATCTTTTCAGTCAACACATTTTGATAGGAAAGTGGCCGAGATGGTCACTCTCACAGGTGGTGGGGTGGCGCGGTGAGCAAGGTGGGCCCTCCTGAGGGTGTGTTTTCAAGTGGGAAGTTGAAGCAAGTCCACGAGCAGGTAAAAGATAAACAAGATAGCTGGAGCGGCCGGGACTTAGGGCGCCTCCTAGTCATCAGCGCTCATGCTCACACCTGTCACCTGGTGAGGAGAGGGCTCGGGTAGAGGAAGACTCCTGTCCAGGTAGAGCCAGCATCCAGGCTGCACATGTTGTCTTTTGCTGCATCACCTGTTACCCCAAAAAGTGGCTTGAAAAACAATCACGGCTCACAGTCTGGGTCAGAAACGCAGGTGGGGCAGCGGGCGAAGTCTCGAAGATGTGAAGGCCGGGGGCTGGGGGCGCCTGAAGGGTGTGAAGGTGGGTGTCAGCCGTGAGCTGTCAGCGGGGATCCTCTGGTGACCTTGCAGTGGGACTCCCCATGACATGGTGGCTGGGTTCCAAAGGCGGAAGTCCTGAGAGAGGAAGAGGAGCCAGCTAGGTTGAAGCTGTATCTCTTCTGATGCAGACTTGGAGCTCATAGCACCACTTCTGTTGTTGCCATGGTCTGGGCTTCACGAGGCTGTGTCCAGATTCCGGGGAGGAGATGTGCCCCCACCTCTTGATAGGATGAGCCTCTACCAGGTTGTGGAGTGTGCTGGGGTGGGAGCGTGCCCGCTCCGGAGCAAGTGTCCCTGCCCGTGTCCCCGGGCCTGTCTCTCCACTGACTTCCAGCTCCCACCGGGCCTTTGGCTCCTGGACACTTCAGGGCCAGCTGTCATCACACGCTAGCCCTTTCTGCAGCTGTGGGTCTTCCCACAGAGCTCTGTAATTTTAGGCTGCTCTGGTTGGCCACCAGTTTTTATTCACGCAGGCTTTCAGAGCAGGGGATTCTGTTACTGGCACCTCACGGCCCGTTAACCAAAGCGGCTCCGGAGGAGCGTCATGCCAGGTGCCCAGGTTGGGGTGACACTTGACACATGTGACCAGTATGGTGTCCACTGAGTGGCCCATTGCAGCGAGAAAGGAAATGCTAGGCTGTCCTAACCTGTGCAGAGTTTCTGAGTTTATTGGAACCAAACTGACAGTTGCCAGGAAGCAAAATCTCAATGGATTGAGGAAATGCTCCAGAGAATGGCAATTTTACAGCTTATTATTATTATTTTTTTTATCCTCACCCGAGGACATTTTTCCATTTTTTTGTTCAGGTAGAGTGGGAGAGAGAGAGAGGAACAGAGAGAGAGAGAGAAACATCGATGTGAAAGGAACACATCGAGTGGCTGCCACCCGCACAACCGACCAGGGCTGGGGACAAACTGCAACCGAGGTACGCGCCCTCAGCGGGAACCGAACCCGGGTCTCTCAGGACCACAGGCCGACACTCTAACCGCTGAGCCAAACAGGCCAGGGCTACAGCTTATTTTATATGTTAGAATCAAAGGAGGAGATGGGGTGACATGAAATCCATTGGTGATGGATCAGGGAGGTGGGAGAAAGCAGAGTGGGAACCTCTGGGAGTGGATGAAAAGTATAACGATTGACACACATCTTTTATATGGGTGGGTGCAGGATGGTTAACAGTTGTATTTATAGCACATAGAGACAATATGCAGGGAACAAAATAACAATGAGGGGTTCTGTGTCTCTGCTCTGGTGGGAGGTGGTGCCTGAGGGGTCTGGAAAAGGGGATTACTCTGGCAAGGGTATGTTATTGTAGATGCAAAAAGACAACAGACAAGCCAAAGAAGATATGCCTACAAGATGACCACCCATGGTGACCTGTTAGGAAGCTTTAGCTTCAGCCATCCTGTGTGGTTACTTTGGGTCTCTGAGTCTGCACCCCCTGCCATGCGGCTCCCCCTGAGCTTGTCAGGCGTGGCCCCCTTTTCTTTCTTTTTTAATTCTCACCCAAGGATATTTTTTCATTTTTTAAAAAAAATCCTCAGATAAAGTGTGTGTGGGGGGGACATTGATGTGAGAGACACATTGACCGGTTGCCTCTCACACAACCCCAACCAGGGTCAGGTACTGAGCTGCAACTGAGGTATGTACCTGCAACTGAAATCGAACCTGCAACTCTTTGGTCCACAGGCCAACACTCTGACAGCTGAGCCAAACTGGCCAGGGTTGTGTGGATCCTTTTTCATCCACAAAACTATGTCATGGAAGATGAGCTCCAGCACCACTGGTCCACCGGGGGAAACTGATCAGAGAAATGCGAGTACTGTCTTTCTCCATCACCAGTGGGAGTGAGGTTCTTGGGTGCCACTGGATAAGCACTTCCAAAGGCCCCGCAGGAAGATGAGATGTGGTAGAAAGCTTTATTTGTGTAGAATCACATCTCTTGGTTTGCAAAGTCCCATTTCCCTTAGTTTGGTCCTGGAAGATGTGCAGCTGGGGACTCAGCAGAGCTAGAAACAAGGCCAGTGTCCAGAGTTTCTGTTCCATGGTAGAGCTGGGTTCACTATCGCATCAAGCGAGTCACAGTCTATTAGTCCATCATGTGGGGTCCACATGGCTGTGGGCCATGTTGGTGAGTGCAGAGTGTGAGAGCCCACAAGCCAGGAGTCAGGAGTGAGCAGCAAAAGAGAGACTCCCTTTGTTTAGGAGTTTTAATATCAAATCTTCCCATGCCTGCAGGGGCCACATCTATTCTGGCCAGTGACCTATTCCATATGTAACTGGCAGCCAAGCACCTTTCCTGTGTCACCCAGACTTTACTGGGAACACATCTATTTAGCCTTTCCTTTGCTCCTTTCCTGTTAAGTAATAACTGAAATGTGAAAGTTGGTGGTTTGAGGTGCACGGGCATGCTAAATAGCAATCTCAGATGGTGACTATAGAACAATTGGGCTTATTTAAAGGAAAGGGGGGGGGTGGGGATATCCAAAGAGAAGGGCTACACATCACCGAGCCATGGGTTGTTGGTCAATGATGGCAGCCCCTGGGAGCTGGAGTTTCATCCTTATATGTGTCCACTGGTGGGAAGCTCATCAGTCCGTGGGTTTTGGGGTTTGGTTGGTGAGTTTCGGCAGGGGGTTGGGTCTACAGGAATGTGGATGTGCCATCGGGTGCTTCCTTGGCTCTTGGTGTCTGGTGGCATTTCTTGTCTGGCCAGTTCTCCTGTGATGGGAAGTTTGGTCTTTGTTCTCCTGGGGTGGGGAGGCCTGAAAAATGGCCTTTGGGAATGATATTGCCTGTGTGAATCTTACAATAACCAGGTTATGTATAATGGTATCAAAACATTGTGGCCTACGTGGACCAGGGACGGTGCCAGGGACGGTGCCAGGTGGCTGAGGGAGACAGACACGCTGGAGTCACACTCCTGTGACACAGGCGCCTTCTCCAGGTGGGTGTGGAGGGTGGAGGGGAGGAAAATGTTTTCCCCGTACCCGTCTTGGGGTCTCCAGCTGGAGCCCGGTAAACTAGACTGGCAAATGAATGTTGGTTGACCCCTTAGGCTAACCAGAGGGAAAGGGTTCCTAATTAAAGGTTGTCAGGAAAAGCGGGAGAACAAAGGTTCTTGAGTAAGGATTGTTACAGAGTTAAGCCCCGGCCTCTCCTCCCTGCTGCGGGAGCGAGGCACCTTCACCAAGGGCTGTGCCGTGTTCCAGGGCTTTCCCGGAACCTGCCGGTTCTCAGCAGCCTTGAGCTCGAAGTGATCCGTATGCCAGAGAAGCCTATTTTGGGGTGGTATGTTCTGGTGTCCTTCAGGGTTCTGTGATGAATTCTGCAGAGGGGACGTCAGAAAGGCTGGCTTCACTTGGTGCAGGAGCCATACCACAGGGTCGAGGTCTCGGTTCCCTTCAGAGGGAACTGGTCACCATGCTTGAGCAGGCGACTAAGATCTGGGGCTCTAGATGGTGTCCCTTAATGCTTTCGACACAAGTGCTGTACTGAACGCAAGTGCTCTCTCTGTGGGACCTCAATTTTTTTTTTAAAATTTTAATCCTGGAAGTACTTAAAAAATGTTATCATTTATTTAAAAAAATTTTTTCAATTACAGTTTACACCCAGTACTATTTTGTATTAGTTTCAGGTGTACAGCATAGTGGCTGGACAACCATGTACTTTACCAAGTGTTCTCTCAGGTATTTCGCTTCCCATACGGAGCCAGTTTTAATAAAGCAAAGGGGGCAAAGGGAATGGGGCACAGCCTGCTTCATCAGGAG